GGGCATAGGGAATAAAAGTTATAATAGGGTTCATTTTCAATTTACAGATCTCATTAAAAATATTAATTCAAATCTTATTACAACGAATAAATTTCCAATATTGTAATAATAAAATATTATAAAAAGACCCGGAAATCAAAATCGAAAATCCTATATTTGACTAATCAAATTTTTAGTATTTTGAACTAATCCCGGCCATTCTTTCGGAGCACAACTGGATGTGCAAGAAATGTAAGATTTCGGAAGGAGGCTAAATTATAAAAATGTCAGGTTAATTATGGTTGGATCACAATTTGAATAAATTTGTTTATTAAGCAAACCGAAAATTTAAAAAATACGACGATAATAACTAAAGTCTGTTTTAGTACCCTGACCTCCAGATTTTTAGACAACAGCGATTTAAATTTTTGATAATTTAGCGATTATTCTTTCTAATATATGTAGCCCACTTCCTTAATACAACGAAATTGGTGGGTAGGTAATTATTTGAAATTGGGATTTGAAACTTGGATCAATCCATTATCAGTTTTGTTACACAGATTTGTGCGATACAAAATAATCGATCATCGAATAAAGTTTAGTGTGTTGGATTTGTGATTGAATTGGATTTTACATCATTCCCTGCTGTGTATGTATGAAGCCTTATATTTATAATTAAGTAAAAAAAAGATTCAAGTATTGATCGTTCTCTTTTATCTCAAAATAAAATGGATAAAATTTTCCAAGATACTATACAAAACGATTCTGAAAATGAGATAGTGAAAGAATTTAATCAATATTTTCCGGCATTAAAATACAATTTTTGTGATCAACAAGGTACACTTGGAGCAATTATCGTATTGAAAAATCAAAATAACACTTAATTAATTTATGAGTTCCTTTCATTCTTAGGTTTAATTAAAACGAAACCTGTCGTAACTCCCGAACCCGAACCTTCCGATAAAGAGGATAATGAAACGAAGAAATCTCCATGTACATGGAAAAAAGAACCAATTAAGCTTTTATTAACATATTTGAAAGAAAATAAAAAAGTGGTTCAACGGTTAACAAAACGTGGTATTATAGCTCATGAAGTTATAGAGAAACTCTGGACGGGTGCTTCCAACATGCTTAGCAATAATTATTCTGCCAAACAATGTGCAGTTAAATGGAAAAATCTAAAACAAGATTATAATGTAAAGTTTTTTCTTTAACATTAGGTTCAAAATGACTTTTAATTTTAATAAAATAATTATTTTATTTTTAGACAAATCCAGACCTTTGGTGTAAATCAGAAGTGGAAGAAATTATTGGTAAAATTATTCATGCCCAAAGTTAGTTCTCTCACTTTGGCAAAAAAGTGTAAAATGTTTGTAATTCTACAATGAATACAATAATGTACATCAAAAAAAAAATATATATATATTTTTAACCTATAATTTATTTTTATAAGATTAAAAAAATAAATAAATAATGAAACGTATATCTACTCGAAACCTGCTTATAATATTATGCCATTTTTAATTTAGAATTTAAAGTGCGAATTTGTTAATTTAATGAAGCAATCGTTTTTCAAATGAATACATATCAAAATTTAAAACAAGATTATTAGGCCGGGCAAAAAATTTTTTAGATTCTCGTGACATAAAATTTTAAAATTGACGCGGTCACCCGGTTTTTTTTTTTTTATATATAAATTTTTTTTATATGTATTTTATATTATGTTTTGTATTACGCAAATAATAAGGTAAATGAAGGATATTACTATTATTGTTGTGAGTGTTATATGACTGACAGTTTCTGACAAAAAAAAAGTGCTAAGAATATCAAGTTTCAAATAACAAAAAAAACACGAAAATAGTATGTTAAATTTTTTTTATAATAAAGTATATGCTATTACGATTTTTAATTTTATAAAGTCACGTGATAAAACTTTTACTACAAAAAAATTCGAGTTTTTGTAAAAATTGAGGCAGTCGGGTCACGAGAATCTAAAAAATTTTTTTGCCCGGCCTTATGTGAGAACTTATATTTAAATTTTTTTATTTCTCCAATAAAATTGAAAGTAGAGATTCCAAATTATTATTTGTTGGCGAATTGTATAAAAAATCATTTCGTATTGTTACTTTAAATATACAGTAGTTCGCCTAGAGAAACAGATTTTCATTCAATAAATTGTCTTCGCTAAATCTGGCTAGTCTTTGTAGTTCAACTTCGAACCGTTAGGATGACAATACAAAAGGTTCTAATTAAAAATTTAATATTTATATATGCTGGGATATGAGGATCTTAAAGAGGAGTGGAATGTACAACTAATAATATATTTCACAGTTCGCCTTCCTTTATATTGCATAAATACACACCTTAATCCTTTCACTTTCTTCACTAATTTAACTTCATAAATTTTCCTATTGAAACGTTGTAACTTCGCAATTTCGTTAATTAATTTTTTAT